AGAACTGTGTTCCGCTTTCAGCAGAGGACATTGCATACATGGGTACCAAAACCCAAACTCCTGAAAGTAAAATGGGCTTTGCATTACACTTTCAGGCTCTGAGTCAGACCTGTCAGACTCAGATGACTGTCAGTTGAATTCATCTTTCCCTGAGGTCTACCCTAAAAAGAAGGTTAAGTTGAGCTACATGAACTATCCTGACCCTACCTCCCATAAAAAAACAAGCCTGCAAACAATGGTGTTTACTGTCAAGGGTGGTTATCATCCAATTCATTAAATTTATATTGAGATTATGTAAGGGTAATTACACAACTGCAATTCCCCCTTTCTGTCCTTCATTTTGGCTCTCTTAAAAAGCCACAGCGTCCTCAAATCTCACAGAGGAAATGGAGCATTTCTGAATCAGAACATTTTTGCTGATGTACCCAGCCTTGGCTCACAAAGGACAAAACGAGGCCCTTATTAAGCTGCCCCTTTGCCAGGCCACATGGAGGATTTGCGAGTTCAATGGGATCTGCAGGAACAACAAGGGAACAACGAAACTCTTCATCCTGTCAGGAAAGCATGGCAGAGGATCCTAAACCTACGGCCTATTTTTCTAGACAAACTAAGCAACTTATTTGAAGCCTAGGGTAACATGAAGGTGCCATTTTATTTACCCAGTGTGTCTAAGCTGAAGCCTCACATTATCTTCACACAGATAAACTTGAAACAAAAGACCTTGGCTGACTCAATGTTTCCAGCAGGGTGAGGAGTAGAGGGATTTTACAGAGCTGTACCATGTGTCTTGGCCAGTACCGCACTGACTCATTATTAGCAATCAGTGTTGGATCTGGATGGCTTTAGCTGCTGTGGTTCTGCGGGGTAAAAGCTCCCATGATTGTGAGACGTTTTTCAAGCTGCTCATCTCTGTAATTTAGCAATTCGGTTTGATTATTGTGGGGGGTTTGTTTCGACTGCACCCAGAATAGCTCAGGCCTATGAGAAAAGGGGGCTTACTAATGATTTCTGTTTCCTAAGACTTACAACATGCTACTCAAGTGCAAAAACACATTCTTGGTGGGGCCGAGACGGTCTTACTGATGTGTCCCCCTAAGGAGAAGTTTTCGGGACTGCAGTGCTCCAGGTGAAGGGGCCCTTTCTGTGTTATGTTATACAGCAGCAGGTTTCACTAAGGTGTTCATTTCAAGAAACCTTTTATCTCCTCCTCGCAGCCCTCCAGACTCCATCTGAGCTCCATAAATCAAAGTGGCAGAGTTGTGGGGGTCAATGAGAGAGCCCTCAAGAGGAGTCTTCTCTTGTTCACTCTCTGCTTGTCCTGGATCATCGAGTTGGGCGTTGCGAACCGGATCATTTATTTTACATATGTACTACTACATGTTCACTTGTGCTCGTTCTAAGTTCTTAAAGCTCTTGCATTCCATTTCCAAAAGGGCACAATGAAAAACGGTGAGTGATAGGCCATGTTCGCGCCTCCTGAAGGCTACAGGTTTCTTTTCGCTATTTCCTGCCTCGCCAATCTTGCTAAGACTTGCCCCATGTGTTCTGCTTTATGGAGTAATAAAAAAAAGCGTAATGGCTCTCATCTATTCTTGTTAACAGCACAGTGTGCGCTTGTTTGAGTGTGACAAAGGGTGAGAGAAAGGCTGGATATTAAGTTAAGCTTCAAGCCCATTTTTGAAAAATCCCCAGATATGGCATTCCCAAACTGAAACAGATACAGTTCATGAACCCTTTGTACTAAAAGCACAAGTAAGATCTCATTTGAAAGCTGACACCTGGAAGTTTATTGTAAATGTAGAATTAATTATTATCATAATGAAAAAAATAGTTATAAATAGCTTCAAAGTTTTGTAAAGTTATTATACATTTATTTTTATGAAACATCTTCATGAAAATAAAATTGAAGTTGGCATTGTAGCAATCTAGAAATGCACTGCAGCTAAAGCCACATGTCTGGCCATGTTATATTTAAAATTTGAAGATGATAAGTCTAAAACTCTGTATTTAGTTCAATGTTTTTCAAGATCATGTCATATGACTTTATTTTGATTAGACTGGTGTTTATTGTTTTCTTATAAGCATCTATTCAGTCTATTGCCTCTATTGTTTTGTGATGCAAAAACGAGCCCCATTCAGTCTCAGTCTCCCCTGCACATATTCACACCTCTCCAGCCAGTTTATTGCTCTAAATATGCTTTTCTTTTGTCTGCATTATAATCACTAACGACTAGCAATTCACACTGTTTCAATCCCTCATTTATTTTATAAAAGTTCTCACTTCACAGTGAAACTGTATCAAATGCCCTTTTTGAAAAACGAAACATTTCAGTAAGCATTCTTATTTAGAAAAAAATCATAAAAATTACACCGAAGTAAGGTAGCAGGTGCTCAGTACTAGCTAGCATGTTAGCTTAGCACACCATCAATACACGACAATTTATGAGAATAAAACTATGTTTGTTCTCCAAACTTACTTTATAGCGCAAGTCGAGTGTTTTAAATAACTTTCTGTAATCTGATTTGGCTTCAGATAAAAAAATCAGATAGAAAATATATTATTTTATTGTATTCTGCACAATTTGAAAGTCTATCTCGATTAGCATTACATTATACATATAATCAATTATTATGAAAATACCTGACATGACTCGAAGAACACAGGTAAATCAAATATCATTGCAATCATGTTTATTGTCTTCAAAACATCTTTATCTGCACTTTACAGCGATCTCGGATAGCTTTGTTGTGGCAGGACTTCCTGAATGTCACATGATTATGGCTCTTCTTCATGTGATCCATATATTATGGACTTCTGTTCAAACAGCGCCCTCACTTTCAGGATGAATTGATAACACAGTACAGAGTATACAGCGCTCAAAATGATTACATCGACGCATTTGGGTATAAATTCAATAAATATTATTCCTGTCTATAGAAGTCTAATGTAAAGCTATGAGAATCTATCAATATTTCTCCAAATCTGCACATGTTTGAGCTAAAAGCCCTGAGGGACGTTGTTTTGTCAAGCGCTGTCATGACGATCGCACGGGAGTTTTTTTCTGAATGAGACCGGCTGAGGCTCATAATTCATATTAAAGGTAACGACTCATTTTTTAATTTCATAACTCCTGACACAAATTAAGACATAACTGTCACTATAAGTTTCTCAGAATACAATAGTGGTCAAATACTGAATCTTGAGTCTTATATCTTTTTAATGATGTATAGTTTGTCAAGGTATAACATTAAATCTGATAGTATATTTGAACTAAATAAATAAAAAAACGCTTCAGTGCGCCGACGCTCTGGAGACGGTTAAGAGGTTAAGAGAATTTGGAGCAGCCCCCTTAAAGGCATATGTAAACATTTACGGTTTGTCTCAAGCTGCTGGTGTGATTACAGAGGCCGTACTGTACAGAGGCAGTCGAATGGAAAATGCAGAGCACATGAGTATGAGTGGCCTACTTGCTTGCTCCCGACCACTCTGCTTCATGGTATTAGCAGGGCGCTGCCTCTCGAAACTAATGTGTTACATCTCATATAGAGGCTTGTTAGGAGATCCAGTCAACATCCGTCTGCACTCTGTTCAAGTATGTTTATGGGTTTGCTTATCTCCAGATTGAATAGATGTTTCGGCGGCGTAGAATGACGCAATGGAAACCAAACCAGATGAAGTGAATAATTATGTTTGTAAGCAGTATGTTCACGCTTATAGCTTTGGAATACCAGTCATGTGATATCATCACTAGTCATAGTTTTGAAGGACTCTTCCAGAACAAACCCTCTTGTTTTGATGTGTCATGCTTTTTGCTGATTGTTACTTCTATGGGGAATTGGAAAAATCACTCATGCCTGTTATTACTCCAAGCATAGAAGTTGCCAGTGTGTGGGATGCTAATATCTCTCTACAGAGGTTGTGCTAGCTTTAGTACACGAGTCTTAAGTGCGTTTACACTGATGGTGATGTGCAGTGTCAAAGCGATGGACATCATTCGTTTTCAATTAGAGTTTGCGATTTAAAAAGATAAGCAATGCAGAGCCTACCAATGTGAGTGCCTACAGTGATCTTCCACCCGATACAGATTTTTATCTCTGCCGATAGGAACTGCTTCACTGAGTCTTGAAGTTTGATGTTCATGTCTTTGCCTTCTATTTTAGGGCCCCATCATGAGGTTTTAACAGAAAATGAAACAAGACTAGCACCCAGCCTCATGGGAGGTGTTGTTCTCATGAAAAGCCAGAGCTTGGGAATAAAGACATTTCATAATAAGCATCGCAGCCACAGGAATGACAGTGGCAAAACATAGCTGGATGTGTATTTAGCCATGTTCTACACTGTATTCCCCCTCAAACCTGGCCACATTAAATTTGGCACTCATTTCCCTCAGCTGGTCACTAGGAGTATGTTTTCGTGGGTTTTATAGGAATACATATTGGTCATTTAACTGCTTCTGTTCCTTACCAAGACTTGCAGTATCGTAGATTGCAATGGAGGTTCAACCTAAAGGCTCAGTGGAGCCTTTATTTCCTCCCACAAACCTTCACTCAAATTGATACTTGTTTGTATACTGTATATCTGTGTATAATACCATGATGTCAGCCTGTGCCAAAGCAAAACCAACCCCTATTTTTCTTGTCTAGTATATTGTGGAGTAATTTTTTCAAGCAGTTACCGGAAACATGAGCCACTTGCATCTAATCAGGTAAACTAGCGAGACAGTGGACAAGACTAAAGGGTTGCTCATGGGTCAATGCAAAATAAGAATGCCCAAGATACAATGAAATGGGGAAATCTTTTAAAAATGTAAGTTTTTAGAAACTAATTATTTTTATTCATGTTGATTTCATACTTACAACAAAATTGACCTGAATTAACCTTACCTCCAAATATCTGATATTTTAGTCACTTTTTGAACTTTAGTAGACAAAGTCATGGTGGTCAGGGGTCCTCGATGATATAACTTCCTATTTTAATTTTATGCTTTTATGTTTTCCAGGGAATGAAAACCAAAGTTCTTTAATCCATGGAACAGATCCAGGGCTTCAGCCAATCAGAGTGAGGACGGGGTTCATCTATAACCTCTCCCAGGCCACGCCTTCTTCTTGCTGAGAACCCTTGGCTGCAGAACTTCGTGGCTGTTATTGTCCTATTTTTAAGGCCAGTAAACAAATGTGAAGTGACTAATGTTTTCTATGTCAGTTAAACACTCAATGCCGTCCATTATCTAAAGATAACGAAGTGTGATGATGCATTTGAACATCAAGGTTTTTTCGATGGTCATTTGACTGCCCCAATATGACTATACTGACACTTCAGTTAGCATGAGGCTATTGAAATTGTAGAGGCACACATAATTTAATATTTATCATGCACCATAGGTATTCCTAACAATTAAATAATATGATATCTTTATGATTTCTTTCAGGTACAAGTCATGGTTAAACATTGCAGGAACATGTGGTGGATCAGCAGCTTCTTTATGGCAACAAAGAACGACAGACACAAGGCGGACAGAGCAAACTCCACCAGTCGACGGCCAAGACTCCCCTTCGTAGAACATTACCTCAGTTTTCATCTAGTTAGAAAACTGCAACATCAGTCAGCTATTGATTGACAGGCTTAATTTTCCTCTCGCTAGTCGTGTGATAAGACAGCAGTCTTGGCCAAACGCTTCTTGACCCTGACTGGCCGTTGCCATGGCTTCTGTTCCCATGACTCCTGTTCCCATGGTTCCTCTGCCTTAAAGGGAAGTTTGTCTGATTAGCTGAACAATGGTGTTATTTTGGGTGGTTCCTCCTTTTTCGGCTTGTTTTGCTTTTGGTTGTATCTGCACATATAAGCATTGACACATCCTCTATGGTCTATTCCTTTCTAGTGAGTAAAGTGCAGTAAGTACAGCTTTTAAACTTCTGACATTAATAAATCTAATTGATTTTCAAATTCAAGGTCTTCTAATCTCGAATTATTTCAGCTTCATTAGCAGATTGTGCTGACAGCGCAAACGACGATCTTTAGCTCTCTCCACCAGCAGATAAAGTCAGTTTTGACTACCCATTCCGCAATGCTGAGTAGGTGTTCTTTCTGTCTGTCTTTCTCTTTCATCCTCTTTCTGTATATCTCTCCTCCCTTCCCCCCATAAGCAGGCTGATAGGCTGAGAGTTCACATGTTTTGACAGATCATTTAATGGTTGACCTGTGGCGATATCGCTGCCTGTGCCTGTACTGAGGGGAGGAAAACTCTCATTCCTTCCAAATAAACTCCTTCTTTCCCTGCAAACCAGAAGGCTCTGGAGAATAATGCATTCATAGTAAATTTAAAAATCAGAGCAGAGAGTCATGAGATTCTGACATGAGTCTAAAATCCACAGTGATCTGTACTCATCCCTCATATCAGGCTTTCTATGAGTGCCACAATACAAACCAACCACAGCATGCACACACATTGCTTGGGGCTTTATTGTTCTGAGAGATAACACGGTTAAATGATTTCTGTCGAATATCAGTATATTCAAATTAGCCTTGATTCTTTTTTTCCTTTTTTTTTTTTTTTTTTTGCAGTGTTTGCTTTTGAATTGATACAACTGGATACTCGTGACCTGAAGTCAGTTCTGTTTCAGAACCTTTTGTTTTGTTCTTGGCTCATTTAGTCTTGAGGTTAAACCAACAACCACACATTCCCCTAGCTCAAAACTCCCCAAAACGCCCCTTTTATATACACATTAGAATAAATCGTTAAAATTTTCTGACATTGTGAACTCTTCTTTGTTTACTCATTGCAGTCTGAAACACTCAGAGGAACAAAAAGAGCTGATAGAGGAATTACAAAGTCTATGGTGCGAGTATTGCTCAACTGCGACTTTGGCCTTATTCCTCGCGTCTGTTCTTAAAGGCCCAGTGACCCACAGCCCTGGTGTGCATACTGTAGACACTGACTGGCGTGTGCATTCTTAACAGAATACCTTTTTTAACAATAACAACACTTTTACCAACAGTGACAACCCCAAATACGGGATTGCTGTTATGCTTTGCTGCATAATTTGTTTTTTAATGGGTTGCTTCACCTAAAAACGGAATCCTATACTATAAAGCAGGGGTTTTCAAACTTTTTGGATCCACAGACCCCAACCCCCCCCCCCCCAAAAATATTATCATCCCCTTGTTGAGGGACTCCTTTCTTAACTCTTTCCCCGCCATTGACAGAATTTTCCCCGCCATTGACAGAATTTTCCGTCATTTGTGAGACAACGCTTGCCATTGACGGAAATTTCCAGCTTTCCGTGTTTTCACTGTTATATAGAGGGGGCGCTATTACACATCTTCTGAAAGAGTACTGAATCTCTAGATCAAAACGCAGGTGAATAAGAAGCAGAAACAAGCGATATCACATGTAAGCAGATGCATATGTAAAATAAAGCGATCAACAATATTAAACGGCATATAAATCAAAACTTAATTAAATGTTGACCCAGGACGAGCTTTAGGACTGTGAAGCTTTGAGCTACTTGAATGATGTTCTGAAATATCTACTTTTTATAAATGAGGGGAAAAAAAGAAGTAAAATTTAGTTAGTAAATGACAACAGGATTTTCCAAGACCAAAATCTAAAGCAGTGAAAATGCTAAACTTTCTACTACACTGATGGCCATCTGGCTCCTATCTGCCATGATTGTATTCATGATCACAGATTTCGTCGGGAACTTAGCTTGGTATTCTCTCTCTAAGGGAAATTAAACTACAATCCAGCAAGGACTGACAGCGCTCGCAGAGCATGGATGCTTGTTTAGTGACGTAGGGAGCAAACACGTAGACCCCTCCTGACTGTTGCTACAGTAACAAACTGTCTGCTCTCAAGAGGCCTGTTCTTTCTATCTAGTAGTCCAGTCATTGCCAGTACTTTTGAAAGCAGCCCAGAGATTCCAAAAGCCATTGACATCAGTGCCAAGGAAAGACATAGTTTAGGGGCTTTCACATCCTTACTATTGGGCCGGGACAGAATTTTGATTTCCTGTCTATGAGCACTTTTCCAGTAAAGCAGTTTGAGCATTTTAGCTGGTTTAGCCCCCCTCCCCCCTTCAAATGGCATGAAATAATAAGCACAGCTGTTTGCATTTTTTTGTTTAGTTTATTACCCTTGCTTTGCCAAACTTACAAAAACTGTTCTGAGAGTCATTCTTGGTTCTTTTGTCACATTTATCAAGCTTGTCATTCATGTGGAAATAAAACACAATGTTGGTTTGCTTATAAATAGGTATTTTATTGGTTTAAACTGCAATCTGTCGTTACAAAAGAAAACATTTTGATGTGAACAGCAATAGCTGCTAACATAGGACACATTCAAATGTAGCTCTCTCAATGTCAATCCTGTTAACCTCGAATTTCCACTAAAAATCTATATAATGAACTCTGGATTACAACCCTAAAAGGTACAAGACTCTTGGAATGTACTGTTAGGCACTTAGCAAGTAGAAGTGGTCCAAAATCTGTAAATAAATAAGAATTTTGAGTCATAACAAATCAAAACAACACATGCTTGCTGGTGTACGTAACATGGTTTCAAAACGGGCAAAATAAATACACAAATGCATATTTCACAATTCCCTTATTAACCGTCCGTTTTAGACATGTCAGATCAGAGGTTTGGACCACCGCGGGGGTCATGAGATTGGTACTATAATGCATTTATTGTCTGTGATTTGTTCATACCAAAAGAAGTCTTAGTGAGAGGATCCCAGTCTAAACATCAGATTTATAAAATCACAGGCACAGGACTGTTATTGTCAAGAAAACTCAGTTTACATTCTAGACGGTCGGAGCCAAATAATAAAGGATTATAGAGGCATAAACATCTTGAAACTGCAGTCCAACATTAGGGAGAAAAAATAATAAATAAATGCAAAACAATCCTCTTGCATTCTCATTTTAAATTAAGCTTCACTTTAAAAATAAATCAAAATGTAGTTACAAAATGTCATTGCAGTATAATATATTAACTGTTGAAACTTAACGAAAAAGGTCTTCACAATCTTACGATTAATACGGAAGATCATAATTTAACATAAAGGAAAATATATTCTATTGTTTCATTATCCAGATAAATACAAACAAAATAAAAAAAATGCTTACAATCAGCAATAAATACATTTTGATAAGTTAAATAAGCACTGACAAGCAAAACTCTCCGTCGGAAAGTTCTCATTTCCAAACAGAAAATACCAACAATAATTGTAATGATGCAATAATAACTATATTATAACAATAATAGGGGAAATACAATATTGAATTAATGATAGAACATTTCAACGATCTGTTTACAACGAAACAATTAGTGGCCACTGAAGTCACATCTTTAGTGGTAATATGAACAGAAGGAATTAAGGAAGGACGTCCTCTCTCTCACACATGTTCTCTCTTACATAATCCAACAACCAGCAGACACTATTTTAGCGTAAGGGATCACATGTTCTAGGGATAATTACCATTTAGCACCACTAGACGTACAAATATCTCTCAGAATGATTCATATAAATCTAAGATGGGTTTTCTACCCCAGATCTCCAAAAAATCGACGTGATTGGAAAAGTAGGGAAGTAATTGTTTGATAGGCACTTAAAGTCCCGACGATCTACCGGCGAGAGTTTTCTGCAAGAAAAGTGGCACTTTCAGGTGTGTAAAGCACATCGTTGCAATAATATTCAGTAGATTCTTTGAACAAGAACATCCTTGAACAATTTAGGAAAAACTATGCTCTTTAGTTTGAACAAAAGTGAACTAAATAGGGATTTGTTTAACATGTTCCACTGAGGATTCCGAGACCTCAACATTTGAGCGGGCCTAGAGGCGAACAGTTCTGTTTTTTTTTGCATTACATCAGGCATGTTAAGACGTGGGTATATGCTCAAAGTTGATGCTGCTACAGGGTAATATGGTATCTGATTTGACTCAGTGGCTACGAGAACACTGTACTTTATTCCACTTCTCTGCTGTAAACAAACCGAGGACAGGAAGGGATTGCTAGGAGGAAAATGACTCTATCTTTGCTTTGTCCCTCTCAAGGCCTGAGATCTCTGAGGGCCAGGTTTTAGTCATCAGAGATAGAGAGTCTGCTGAAGATGGGGAGGCGACGTGTCGCGTCCAGCACGGGTGACTCGGATCCGCTCTGGCTGCCCAGGCTGCTCTGGTAGCCCTCCTGGTCGGAGAGGGAGTCCGGAGGGCTTGGTGGAGACTCGGACATGGGCCTGAAGAAGGAGGGTGCGGTAGGCGAGTGAGGACCGGGCAGATCAGGAACAGTGGTGCCACCTAAACTGGGCCCAAACAGGTTGGCGAGCTCTTGACTCGAGTAAGTGAAGGGGTTGCTGGGCCACTCGTTGATGTCTTCGGTGGAAAATATGGGCGGAGGTGTGACCGAGGTCGGGCTGTCCTGGGAGCCACCTGAGCTTGGGAAACCGGCAAAACTGTAGCTGTGATGAAGGCGTGGGCGCTCCATCTTGTTGAAGGCAGAGAGCGGAGGGGGTCCGCGGCGCTCCTCTGCGTTGTGGATGAAGTGGCAACGCGGCCCGTACGGGCAGTAACCAATGCTGTGGAAGGTGCGACAGAGCTCGGTCTTGTACTTGGGGTGGCGATTTAGACTACGAAGCTCGTGCATCCCGTGGGCAAACTGGCACTTGTCACCATATTTACAAGTGCCGTTCTCCTCGAAGGGTCTGCAGAGTTCGGTTTTATAGCGGCTTGAGTTGATCTGGCTGTTTCCGTTGGCACTAACGCACGTGATGTTGCTCGGCCTTAGACGCTCCCCGGTTTCAGAGAAGGACCGGTCACGAAAGCGGTTCTCCTTGTTGTTACTGCTCCCATTCATGGAAACCGAGCCTTCCATCTTGAGACTGTTAATAAATTGGTTCTGCATTGATTTGGAGCTGGTAACGGACACAGAGTGGCGACGCTGGTAGAGTCCCATTGAAGGGGTACCCACCACCTTCCTGTCCAGCAGGGACCCGGTGGGGGTAAAGGGGGAAGTGGCACCGGTGGAGGGGACAGACTGTATATGGGGACTGGAGAGGGGACTGTTGTAGGTCATCATCTTATTGTTCTGAAAATAAAGTAAACAGAACAATGTCTCAAAAATTTGGCATGATTATGACTCACTTTGCTCCAAATATCACCAGTGGGAGTTTATTACATGCTGGTGGTATTCGCTCTCTTCAGGTCAGCTCTAAGGTCTGTTTTTTAAGAGATAACACTAATGACCCAGCACTTTTAACCCACACAGCAATCTCTTTAAAAGTGAAAGGTTTATTAAGTCATAAAACTGAATGTGCAAGACTCATGTATCATCTGAAATGGTGCGCATTAGCATGATGATTTATTGTATAACCAATAACTACGAAACACTCTCGTTAAGTTACAAAACCTCATTACTTTTTCTGTCTTTCTATAAGGTAAGAGAAAATATGCATTTTAATAAAATCTATCTTTTGTATTGGGGATGATAAAAATGACCACCCAGACTTTGTTTGAATTCTAGGTAGGTCACATGTGTCTGAGACAACTTTGGCCATTTCGTTTCTTTTTTTAATCTTGTTCACTGAGTGTCAGGTTTTTAAAAGTGGTACGGCAAAAATTGTGTCATTTACTTGCCCCATGCAATTCTATGCTGAATGGTGAGCAATACTTATTTTTTTGTGGTAAAATTACAGCACATGGTGAGAAATTAAAGTCGTAATTGACTGATAATATTCCCATAAGTAATAACTCTCAAACATAATTAGCAGTTGGTTCAATTAAAATATTATGTGACATTATAGGGTGGATATGGCTCTCGCAAGTCACGTGATAGCAACACTATGTTTAAAATGAATGATGGCTTCAGAAGAATCACAATATTGCTCACCAACTACTTTTGCTTAAACATAGGTGTTTAAAACAATTATCCATTTTGATTAAAGCGAAACGCCACCTAATGACATCAGCCTAACATCTCCTTTTGTGTTAGAGGGATAGTTCACCCAATAAAGAAAATTATGTCATTTACTCACCGTTATGTTGTTCCAAACCTGCATGAGTCTTCTGATGAACTAAAAAGCAGATATTTTGAAGAATATTGGTAACCAGACAGTTGACGGTAGCCATTGACTTCCATAGTAGGAAAAAAAAAATACTATGAAAGTCAATGGCTACAATCAACTGTCTGGTTACCAATATTCTTCAAAATATATTATTTTGTGTTCAGCAGAAGATAGAAACCCGTACAGGTTTTGGAACAACTTGAGGGAGAGTAAATGATGACATTTTTATTTTTGGATGAACTATCCCTTAATAACACTACAGGAATGGCATGAGTGAGTAACTTTTTTTTTTAAGTTTGGGGTCAAACAATCCTTTTAACATTGGTTTAACTTTTAAAAGCACATCCCGAGACCCTTCTTGTGTTTAGTTTCATTCCGTCCAACTGTTTTGTATGAAACGTATACGCCCCTTAAAGCATTCTGCTGAAAACTATTGTGCTTCTACGTCACAGTTAAGATTGCATGTTCACAATACAATGTTGCATGGCTAATATAGATCTTTATATGCTCACAGCTGACCAATAGATTATTTCAAAAGATGTGTGTAACTAAAGTAATACGATAAATCAATCAAATTGCCTTCATTTTAGGTTAGAACTGCTACCGTTTAAAAAAAGGTCAATAAAAGTAAATCCATTAGGCTAAGTCTAACCCATGTTACCCATGTTAGATAACTCGTTTTATTCCAAATGAAATATAGATTTGTGGCCTTCCCTGTTTTGTATAATCGAATCGAGAGCAAATAATGCAAACCTTTATGTGAAGCATACGTTTTACTAATGACGCATAAACGCAGATGAATGTAACTAATCTAATCTATTAGCTTTCCTTAATCGATTAGCAATCGATGACTGCAGATCATGAGATGCACAAAACTAGATAAAGTTCACAAGCAAGATTCTCTCTCTCTCTCTGTGTGTCTGCCTATCTCACTCACAGACACACACATAAGCCAGAAAAGTTTGACATCGATGTAGAAAACAGCATCTCAAACTACTGCTGCATTTTTATTAGATATAGATCTGTTTAGCACTCAAGTTAAATGCTTAAAACTAACTTACTTCCCCAAAAATATTAATTACCTTATTCGTCACTTCGTAATCGAAGAAAGAAGACACGACGGTTGCAGTCATTGTGGAATCGGGAGTTGTTGAAAATACTTAAAAGTTGACAAACAGATGGTTTGTTAAGGCACGGTGGGAGTATTCCTGTGTTTGAAGGGTCTTTGATATAGTTCTGCCCCGCAGAGAGCCCCCTCTGTCCTGCCAAAACTTGCGCCCATATCCTTTATAAAAAACTTGCGCAGTCTTCCTGACGGAGTGGGCGGGGCTGTTCCAGGCCACGCCCCTGTTCCGCAAGTCTCTCTGGCGCTTTGACGTGATGTAGACTCAGCAGCTGATTACGAAACTTCATTTCTACGAAACTTCATTACATACATTTAATCACAGCCTGGAGTTCTTCCCGAGCGTATTACTTAACCCATTCAGTGCATTCCAAATATAGCTGTTATATTTAAATCAAACAGCACAAATATGAATTTGACTATTTAAAGTGAAGCTAAGAGGTGACATTAGAAGCAGAAGTAATAATTAAAGGTTTTTATTTATTTATTAGATTTTTATTCTAATGGACAGTGGGTCTCAGTGTATAAGTAAGGCTATTGTACACTATATTAATAGAAAATCCAGCTATTAGTTTAAATTTGTAACGTTTCCGTATATTTTTAGAAAATCACTTAGGCTACATTTGAATATGCAATGATTTTGTATTCATTTATAATTTATTTAAAGGCTCCAGAAGTATTATTTAAGGCGAGACACTGTCTTCAAGCAAAAACTGTGTTATTTTCATGCATCTGTCAATTTTGAGTTTTTTTTTGTTTTTGTTTTTTTGCTTTTCCAAAAGTTTTTTTTTTTTCAGACTAGTGGAAGGAAACATCCAAAATACTATTTTAAGTGTATATTTTATAGCACCTTATCTATTTGCGTCTGTTTCAGACATCTCCAATTCAGCACTTACATACACCAAACTTTACAGTATTATTCTTATCTATATTCTGAAGGTTTTTACACAGGGGTTTGTACATGTATACTTTGCATAATTTTAAAACAACATGTTATTCCTAAAATGACAGTATTTTCTGATTTAAAAAGTGATATCCAAAATCCCTTCTTTGACTAATATTTAAAAAAAAAAAAAAAATTAAACAAGAATTTTGAACTTGGCTTTATCCAATGTTCAGATTTTTGTTCTAGAAATGTATGCAAATCAATGCATATTTAATTATATAATGCCTAATTTTTTGCATATTTAATACTATATTATACTTTTTGCAATTCCTAATGTAATCAATCAACTGGGGAAGTATGATGATATCTATTAGTTCATTTGTTTATGTTCACCTGGGGTGTCTTGCCTTAAAAATATGATAATAAAATATAGGTGCATTTTGAATAGAAAGAAAGCATGGTCATTTTTTTGTTTTTGTTTTTGTTCCTTGATCTGGACATTTTAAAGAATGAAGTGAAGGAAAGGATGCATGAGTGAGGGAACGTGAAAGATGCATAAAATAATTTGCCTTGATTTAGTCATTTTTATTTAGTTTTTATTTAGCATTGAATTTAGTCATTTCCTTCTCTCTAAAATGTGCAGTAGTGATGTGTGTACATATAGATTGTTTTTTCCTTCATTTTAATTTTCCTTTAATGATTGAGTTTTTTTTTTTTTTTTTATGAGGCCAACTAACTCAAAGGCATTGGTTGATGAATAGGACGCACAGTATACAGTTCATGCTGGACAACAGAAGCCAGCATATTCTCCTTTACTGCTTCCAGGGTCTTGATCCTGTAAACCCATGTGTTGGCATGTTTAGCATGTCTCTAGTTTCTGATGTCTCTAGTTGTTTTCTCCAAACATTACCCGAAAATAATTTCTGCAGATTCAGCTGACCCATCAGGACCTCCTGTCCTCGATGCTTTGTCAACCGCAACGTCCCTCGCCAAAGACCCTGACCTTCGGTTTCAATTTTTATCAGAGCCTTAGAGCTGTATCCAAAGTATTCACAGAAGTGCTTTTCAAAGTCTATTTTAACTTGTTTTGTATATCTAGACTTTAGTAATCATGCTTAGATATTTTATTCATGGCAGAATGCTAATGAAATAAAAGTTACTTTAAAGCAGTAGATCACTCACTCTCATGTTGTTCCTAACCTATGACTTTCTTTCTAATGGAGGAACACAGAAGACGATTTTTTTAAAATGTTTTGTTTTCAACAGGGTTCAATCGTTTGGATCCCATTTAGTTTCAAAGTATCTCCTTTTGTGTCCCACAAAGAAAGAAAGCCAGACAGGTTTGGAAAGACATAACAGTGAGTAAATTACACAATGAATTGTTTGATGAACCCACAAAAGTCAAAACATCAGTATATTTCTTTAGAATTAAAGGTGCAGTAAGCGATTTCTGAGAAACATTGTTGATATTTAAAATCAACTCAAACACACCCCTCCCTTCATTGCTCCGCCCCCAAATTGCACATAATGTAAGAGAGTATGTCTCTTTATCATAGATGAAGTGAAGCAAAATAATGCTTCGCAAAAAATAAAGTGAGGATGACGAACAAACGATAAGGAAGAACAAAAAATTAACATACAGTACAAAAGATATAATAATAATAATAATTCATTACATTTATATAGCGCTTTTCTCTGCACTCAAAGCGCTTAAATATTATAGATATACAAGCAAGAGTTGGTTGTTAGTCTCCAGCAGCACACCAGCTCCAGATGAACAACAACACTCAAAACTGTCCTGTTACTAGAGCTAACGTTAAAACAATAGCATATCTTGGTCCTTTGAAACATTACTCACATATGGAGCAGGAACAACACAACCTCGCGTCTGTTTTTCAGGCCTTCCTGCTTCGTTCTCTCCAGCGCTGGAAAGCTTTTCTAATATTAATGCGGGTCCTAAAGCTGTTGTCTGATCATAACCCTTCTTTTTCCAGTGACATTTCTCTTTTGTAATGTCTCTCAGCCATCTCTCTTTCTACAGTCTTTCTTCAAATCTCCTTCTTGCTCACTCTCTCTCCTCCCCCATCATGAGTGTACACGCCCCCTACTGCTGATTGGCTCACACTCTCCTCCCCCATCATGAGTGTACACGCCCCTTACTGCTGATTGGCAACAAGCATGTTGTGCTGCTCGGTCCGATCCACTTTCAACAGCGTTTCTCAGAAATTGTTTTCTGCACCATTAAGGGAATAATTCACCTAAAATTTTAAAATGTTTATTTTTTTTCCCACTGTCATGTTGTTCTAAACTCATATGACTTTTAATGGAAGTTTCAAACTGTTTTATATATATATATAACAAATGAGGATTTGAACTTTCAAACATTAAAAGGGATGCAAAAGCACCATTAAAGTATCATAAAAGTAGTCCATACCTCATAATCCAAACCAATTTGAAATGACACATGGGATACTTTATTCATTTTGGGGTGAACGATTCCTTCAAGTCATTGTGATTCTGTTAAATAATTTTTACCTCTGTAACCAGTCATACAAGGACGCTAAAGACCGTAGACATTAGTGTCAGTCGCTAGTGTGCCTCTTGAGATCAGGGGAGTGAGGTTTACACGCACAGCTCTTACTGGCCTACATAACACTCACCCCCCTAAACCTCACCCCCATAAGGGTCACGGCACCAAATGTAACCGGTCCTACTCGACCAACTCCGAGTGGGATTAAAAACCGGGGTCTCCAGCGTGAGAGGCGGGCACACTAACAAGGACGCTAAAGACCGTAGCCACTACCGTCAGTTTTTTTCAACTGAATAAAAAAATACAAGGTTATTTACATGCCACATTTTATTGTACCTGAACTCAGTATTGGAGGGAAATATTTAAAATAGCTTACCGTTTATCACACTCAAGGATTGTGTTAGAATTACGGATGGAGTTCAACTGGGAAGGCATGTTTTTTCATGTTGTATCTGGTGGGAAGGTCTGTTTTCAGGTATTCTCCATTTTATTAGAGATTCATGAGGGATGAGTTTATTTTGGACTTCTAAAAGGTTGTTCCATGGAAAATTTGTTTTCCCCGAAGCACTTGAAAACCATAATCTCCGCTCAATTGAGTCCCTCCAATTACCCAACAGCCCATTTGTTGTTTTTGATGCCTTTTCACATCAATAAAAGTATGTGTTCTGGATGTGACTGAATTTACAGAACAAAAGGTCACACTTGAGGAGGACTTCCAACAAACTCAGAACCTGAACCGGCACAAACGGCCAAGTCAAATTAAGTTTTGTTTGTCTTTTGGGTGGGTGACCGCAGGGACTAGTCCTGTTATAGTCCCCGCTCGTGACCATAGGTCATGTTTTGCTTCCTATTCCGTTTATGACATTAACTCAGAGATTAATTGCTGAAATTATTCAGTGAAGTCAGCGGAATGTGAGTCAGATATGATTGTTCCTGTGAGAGTAGAACTCGCAATGGAAAATAAAACCAAAAGCAAGGTGGTGACATTCCATGGCTCCAAGTCTGGATGTGATTAGCCTGTAATGTGCAACATATGGGAACAAGACAAGAAAAGAGATGGATAGACCTTTGTACAGACGTTCTCTAATGTAAAGATGCACACGTTTCCTTCTCTCATGTCTCCTAAGTGTAAAAAGTGTCAGAGGAAATGGAAAGTAACAAGACAAGGGCTAGGTTTGTGGCGCCCGAGTGGCATTCAGAAACTGCGGTTAGTTGTCTAGATGTTTCAGGTTAGAGACTATTTCAGAGCAGCATTGCTAATGTGAAACAGCTTTTAGATTCAAACCTGTGTGAAAGGACTTCCACTTATGTATATGCATTGATATGAAACCGGAGAATGTGTCCCCAGGCAGCTGTCGCTTATAGCTTATGCTTATTATCATCTGCCGTGTCCTGATTTACCTCGGTATGGGCATCTGAGGCTGAGGCTGTGGCCTTGGAGATGGCCTGAAATCACAGTTGCATGATACTGATGCTCTACAGGTCGCAGCAGGCCACGTTCGCGCATGACTCGTGTCTAAATCATCATGCCTGAAAATGTATAGAAGCACCAAAGCCATGCCTGTCTTTACTCATTGTGAGTCAACCGAAAACATTTTTTTTTTTGTCTTTCAAAAATAATCAGAACCAGTTTCCCTCAGCTTTTAATGAAAGCAGTACAATGAGTTCATTGTCAACGTCATAACTGCTCTATCCTGATGATGCACATGTTTTTTTTTTTAGCGTGTTAGTGATCTATTA